ATAATTATAATTCAATATAATTTTATTTTTTTATTATATTTAAAATAATTTTTAAAAAAATTAAGGTCACATTTGAATCAAACGTCGACTAACTAAATGTAATTTTAGAATTGATTTCTGAATAATTCTTAAAATAATTTTATTTTTATTTTTATTTTTATATTGAAAATAAAGGCCGTGTTTGGAATTAATCTCGTTTTTATTTTTCACGTTTTTTGAGAAAGAAAAAATGGAAACGTTTCTAAACTGGCATTTGGCGCAATAAAGATAAAAAATAGAAATGAAAACGATTTTTTAGTTTAGTATAAAATGAGAGAGAAATGAAAAATGACTTTTAGTCGTTTTTCATTTTTTATTTTTGTTTTCTCCTCTCTCAAGAGACATTAATAAGTTTTTTTACACTGAAAATAATTTCTTGATTAAACTACCAAATGTATTTTTAAAAATGATTTCTATCTGAGATTAAAAACGTTTTTATTTTTATTTTCATACAAAAAAATAAAATTATTTTAAAATGAGTTTTAAACGCGCCCTTAACTTTGCTGATTTCCTATTATAGAACTGAATTGATTGGTCGAATTGAGTGAAGAATCACATACCCATTTCGGAAAAAACCCACCAAGACTCGGAATTAGGAAACCGGAAAAGAAAAGGAGGAGAAATCACATACCTGATTGCTGAAGCTTTCAATGAGAAATGAAAGATGATGATTAAGTTAAGGATGAGGAATGACAGGGTTGATATTGTCGCCATTGAAAAGATTGTTGGGGCTTATCCAAAAAAAAAAAAAAAAAAAAAAAAGACAGAGAGAGAGAGATATTCTTGGGAAAAGGACCTTCAATCTTTATGGGCATACATGTTCCTCGAATATTACGTGGCAATGTATGTGCATATGGACTCAAAGTAGAAGAAAAAATTTGATCTGTGACAAAGTCAAAGAAAAAAAGTTAAAGTTAATGTCAAAATCAATAAAAAGTCAAACTTTTACATAAAGGGACCAGAATACATGATGTATATAGTGCAACTGTTCTGAAAAAATAGTAAACATTCGAAACTGTGTTATCGGTGTTGGATGTTGTAGAGAATAAGAGAGGTATTTTAACGCCCCCCATACTAAATCAGTCTAAGGCCGAATTTAGTAAGATAGTGTTATTTAAAATATACTTTCTATACTTAAAATAATATCATTTTTAAGATGTGAAAATTTATAATTGATTTGATCACAAGATTTCGTAAATGTTGTTGAACAAAATGAGTCAGTGCACAAAATGATTACAACCACAAATCTTAGACATTAAACAGTTATTTAAAACCGACATAGTAACTAAGAAAAACATTTTTTGCTCATCTATTGTTTGGAAGTGCATATAAGTAAGATGCCAGATGTAAGACTTAGAGTATTCAGTCAACCTAAGAAATCATTTTTTTTTACTCTTCGGTAACAACAACATCATTTGCATCACAAGGTAAAACTAATGAGCAAACCCTCAGTAATTAGATTTCAAATAAAGTAAGTATCTAAAATCTCCGTGGTTGAAATCTTTTTGTTAAACATTGTTCATAAACTTTCATACTTATTCTTGATTTGGGTATGATACAGAACTTCGGTTCCAAATAAGCCTCTCTATACAGAACCTTCTCTAATTTTGGCCAATTATCTTCTCTTAAACACTAAGCGGGGTTTTTAGAATCTTTTTCTCTTGTGATCAAAAAGAGACTTTCCACTAGTATTTTTCTCTAGTTGTCTCAAAGAGACAATTTGTCTAATTTGGGGCACCGGTCCCTCGCACCCCTGCTTACCCAGCCTCTCATCCATATGTCATACCATAAAATATCTTAAAACATAAAAACATAATAAGCAAATATCATAATCTCTTTCAAAAATAATTAATTATGAATACTCTTTGAACATAATCATATAAGATCTTCATAAGAGAATAAACTTGCATAATCACAATTCTGAACAAGTTATTTCGTCAAATGGGTCTTGTGATGCAGTTTTGAATATGCTTTAACTCTACTTACCTGAATTTCGATCACCACTTTGCAAGCACAAACTAGCTAGTTGCGGGGAGCCTTCAATGTGCTAATTAACCTTTAAAAACCATAGCTTTCAAAAATCACATTCACATCATCATTTAACAAAACACATAACTGCGCATTGTTACGAAAATATTCATAACAAATTCATCAAAACTCATAATATTATGAGACCAGTAGCAAATAAAAGTAGACTTAAAATCCTCTTTTTAGAACTACTACATGATAGGTTTCAGATTTTTCAAACTAACCAAAACAGCCCGAAATCCGGATTGAAGTATAATCTCGTCAGGAAAATGACAGCTTTTTAGCTGAACTTATAAAACTCATAACTAAATGTAAAAAAAAATCTGTTTAGAGTGATTTAAAAACTGACGTAAAGCTTGACATGTATAATTTAGTAAAAAAATTATAAGATCAGTCAAAATAATAAGTATATATAGCACGAAAACATAATCTACATAGGCTGTACAGAGGACTTATATTTGAACATTTCATCAAATACCTAGCATGCAGATCTTAATCTTCAAAGACCACTCTTAAATACATGAATCATAATCCTAATAAGAGTTTATCTTCAAATAATCATCAATAATATCAAGCTAAAATCATTAATTTCACCCAGAAACTAATATTTGAACCAAAACCTCAATAAACTTATTTTTCAGAGTCTACAACCAACATGCATGATAAGCTATATTAAAAATATGAATCTCAAGTAGGATTTCAATATCTTAATCTATGAAATCTTAGTTTCTAACATAAGAAAGAAGTTACCTCAAAGAAAAACATGTTCCCAAGTGAATAGAAGCTCAAAATCTTGGTGGTTATTTTTGGTTCTAGGTTGAAAACGAGTTGAAATGGGCTGGCTGAGTTTTTAGCTCATTTTCTGTTGAAAACCTAGGTTTGATTATGAGTTTTGGGTGAGAAGAGAGAAGAAAATGTTATGGTCGGAGTTCTAGACTTTTTGCTGAAATAGACCAAAAAATGAAGTCTAAACATAATAGAAATGAAGCAAAAGTGGAGTAACCTT